TTTATTTCCAAGTGAATATTCATCGAATTGGGCCGTGCACCAGAGTTTTAGCTTTTTTTAGTGTATTGTTTAGTGGTTCATGTTCTTATATGCTTGATTTTACATCTCTTTCTGTAAAATAATTGGGCAAGCATCATAGTTCAGGGGTACAGCACCTCCTTTGCAGGCAGAACATCCCAGGTTTTGTTGCTGCCATCCCCAGGTACGGTTGGGAAGGTCCCCTCCACCATCTTGGTGCCTCCAAATGTTTTGGACTACAACTCCCATAAGTCCCAGCCAGCACATGTAGCAAGGGGGAGGTAGCAACAAGTCAGCTGACCCCTGTTTGTGTGTGGACCTGAGTGAGAAGCAAGTTTGCTCAACTAGATCATTCTCTGGATCTGTGACAAAAGGCATTTAAAACAAATTTGGAAATGAATGACAGCATTACAGTTCCTTATGTAACCTTATCTGTGCTGCCTTTTGTACAGACATGATAACATCTCTAATTACATGTTCTTATTCCCCATAGAACCGGAGGCATAAAAATTTCAATATACACTAAAATGGGGCATTCTAAGCCTCATTATATTTGTTTGCATCCAGCAAGTAGGAAAGGCAGTGTAAAATCAGAGGGTCTTCTGAGAATTTGGGGAGAGGGGGAGAGGCGTACACTCAGTGGCAGAGCACCTGCTTTGAAAGCACAATGACTCTGTTCTTCTACCTTTGGAAGCAGAATACCAGTTGCTGGGAATCACAAGTGAAGGGAGCAGTGTTGCTTTCAGGTCCTTCTTGCAGGCTCCCCATCGGCATGCTGTGAGAACAGGATGCTGATCTAGATGAGCCTTTGGTCTGTTCCAACAGGACTCTTACGTATATCATATTCTTATGTTCATTCTCATCCAGATACTGATCAGATCTAGTCCAGCTTCAATTTAGTAAGATTTCTGCATCAGGTACTTTCAGGCTATGCCCTAGGGCTATATCAAGCAAGATGCCTTGCATCTGTTTCAGACATAGTAGTGGAACTGGAACAGGCTGATAATAAATAAGTGAGGAAACTATGTGGGCTGAACTATAGAGGTCACCTCTAAAGCACAGCATTCCAAAGAACAAGATTGGCTCCAAAATAGCCTGCCATTCACCAGCATTCGCAGAGAATGTGTAGCCTTGTTGCTAGGCACAGATGTTGCCATGATGGAGTGAAGTGCGTGCAGAATCAGTAGTAGTAACACATGCAGCCTTGTTGCTAGGCATAAATGTTGCTAGGGTAAGAGAAAGGGAAGCATATTGTATCTGTAGTAACCTAGTATTCGTATACGCATGCAGAGTGACCCAAATGTTCTAAAACATTTTTAAAATGTAGGTTACGGCTGTCTGATGGGGCATGTTGCATCTACATCTCTCTACCTATCCCATCAAGCGTTATTGTCAGCATTGCAAAATTAGACTCTGATGTAGACAGAGATTTCTCCTTCAGAAGTCCATGGCTCACTGACTTCTTTTCTTTTTTAAAAAAAGATTCACTGTTATCTAGGTCACAGCAGGTTTGAAAGACTGAAGGTATATGTTCTTTTTCCCCAGTTAGAAAAAAACATATATTAAGGAAGGTAAAATTTTATTAAGGAAGTTAAAAATGTCGAATACTTACAGGGACAAACATAATGTTAAAACTTTGCACCCATCAAAAGGCCAACACCCCATTTTTGAACAAGGTGCTTTCAGTTCAGAATAACTCATTGTCTGATTCCTCAAGGTACTGGACAACTTTCCTGGCCCGACCCAACCATTCACGTGCAGCAGTTGGAAAAGGCGAGTCCTTACCTGAGCTTATTTCAATGGAAAATGACTCATCATCCTTCTTGGATTTCTTAAGTGCTGTTGATTTTTAAAGAGCTGGGTATGTTCTGAGTTCCAGAACTACTGCTGTTATTATGCCAACTGAAAATTGGCACAATAACATCTGTTGATCCTAATGTATCTTTACCTTTACTAGACCTATAAGAAATATTCTAGCTCAGAGAGCTTTTCAAACCCTGTGGATCCTCAAAAGTTTATTGGGGGGGGGGGACGGACATCTGACTTTTCTGACAAAGTCAGTTGTCACTTTTTTGACAGCTATGTAAAAACGGGAGGGAAAAGTTGGCAACTCAAGTAGTAGGGAACCAACACAGGTTTCCCTTCCTTGTCTCCAGCTGGCCCTCCCTCAAATTTCCCTTGAATCACCAAGGCTCTTCACTCCCTCCAGCCTGCCACAAATAACTTCCTCTTTCCCCTCAGCCACCATGTCATAGAATCGTAGAATCATAGAGTTGGAAGAGACCACAAGGGCCATCGAGTCCAACCCCCTGCCAAGCAGGAAACACCATCAGAGCACTCCTGACATATGGCTGTCAAGCCTCCCAGGCAGCCTGCAGCCAATGGCAACAGCTGGAGAAGCACCAGCACAACCTCCTCTGGCCTGACCATTGTGGGGCAACTCACTACTGGTTTATTATTTTTCTTTTTTGCCCAATAATTTTTATTAGTTTTCCAATTTTTTAACAAATCAGTACCAAATGACATCAAATTTAATACAATTTCCCCATTAAGTTGACTTGTGTTCCTGTTTATTATTTCTCACCCAGCCCATCTTTCATGTGTACTTCTCACATAAACTGTCTTGGAATAAAAAGATAAAATGAACACTACAGCTAGATATATTTAGAAAGACATTTGTTTAGAAATATAAGTGAGCTTGCTTAAGTGCTACAGTTCTCTTCATTGCTTTCACAGTTGGTCTGAAGAAACTTCAGACATCCTGGGGGGTGGGGGTGGGACAGAGACAATGAGGGGGATAGTTACCATTCAACAGCATCACCCAGGCACTAAGGCTGTGTGATGTGTGGATGCATCATCCAACACCGGTTTGTAGACCACATCATAAGAACAGTCTCAAAATAATTGAGCTGGCGATGTATTGTGAAGCACAACCTTCAAAACTCCAGGGGGTGGTATAATTGCGAGCCCTCTGGTGGCTGCCTTTGCTTTCAGCTCCTTTTCCCCTCTGATAGCAGAACGGTCCCACTCCTAGCCTTGGCGCCTCCCCATAACCACAGTGTCTCTGTCTACCCGATGCAGGAATTGCAGCTGGGCTGCTTCTTCCTTCTCCCTCCATCTAGGGAGGAGTGGGAAAAGTTCACCCTCTAAACACGAGGTTTTGCCTGCCTCAGAGAGGAGAATCCGCAGTTCACATTGTTGTTGTTGTTGTTTAGTCGTGTCTGACTCTTCGTGACCCCATGGACCAGAACACGCCAGGCACTTCTGTCTTCCACTGCCTCCCGCAGTTTGGTCAAACTCATGCTGGTAGCTTCGCGAACACTATCCAACCATCTCGTCCTCTGTCGTCCCCTTCTCCTTGTGCCCTCCATCTTTCCCAACATCAGGGTCTTTGCCAGGGAGTCTTCCCATGAGGTGGCCAAAGTATTGGAGCCTCAGCTTCACGATCTGTCCTTCCAGTGAGCACTCAGGGCTGATTTCCTTAAGAATGGATAGGTTTGATCTTCTTGCAGTCCATGGGACTCTCAAGAGTCTCCTCCAGCACCATAATTCAAAAGCATCAATTCTTCAGCGATCAGCCTTCTTTATGGTCCAGCTCTCACTTCCATACATCACTTCATGGATCACTGCCTTGCCGTGGCGAAGGGGCTTGAATAACTCAGAGAAGCTATGAACTATGCCGAGCAGGGCACCCAAGATAGACAGGTCATAGTGGAGAGTTTTGACCAAACGTGATCCACCTGGAGGAGGAACCGGCAAGCCACTCCAGTATCCCTGCCAAGAAAACTCATGGACAAAGCAGTGCACATAGCATGTACCTATTAATCTCCATGACTGCTCCTTTGCCCTTTCTTCACCCTGCCACCCTACATAGTTCCATGTTTCAGACATTGTGATGTATCGCTAAATCGTAATGTTTAGCTGGTGATAGACCTACCAGGCACCTCCACTGGCTTCAGCCTGGAGACTTCATCAACTAACTTCCGCTTGCCAACTTCCAGAGCTTTCAGCTGTTCATGAATATCCACTAGTTTCCTTTTACACATCACATTCATGTAGCTACTGACACCATTTGCCTTGTCCACAATTAAAACCTCCCATACACATAGGCATGCATATGCTAGCCAACATCCATGATAAACACCAACGGACACAGTCACTCATCATTCACTCTTCATTCATTCACATTTGTTCCCTGGCTTCAATCTGCAGATATCCACCGGCTTCCAAATTTCATTTGGGAGCGTTGAATTTTGCTTATTGAGCTCTTCACAATTCAGAAATCCATGGCTCAGTGACTTTTTTCTTTTTTAAGAAAGATGCACTGCTATCTAGGTCACAGCAGGTTTGAAAGACTGAAGGTATATGTTCTTTTTCCCCAGTTAGAAAAAAAGCATTTACTAAGGAAGATAAAAACATTTGCCATCTTCCATTAAGCCCATCGCCAGATGTCAGCCAGCTTCTGACCATGGGTATCAGCTGCCTTCAAGCTACATCCCTCTCAGCAAGTGAACTTGCCTTATTAATGCTCCATGGCATCCCACAGCCAGATGATCACCTCCATCCATCTGCCAGTTCTCCTTCTCCAGGTGGAAGAAGGCTGGGCAATTCTGAATGTCACAGCTGTTGCCCTCTGTCTTCTGTTGGAGAAGAGGAAAAGGCCCACCTTTATATCCATTCAGCTGTCATGTGTTTTTGTGACATCACAGGTAGTCTGTAACCAACAGTAACAGGCTGGGGAAACATCATCATTATCTGTGCACAATTGGAGGTGCACTTCAGCAGTGATTTATGTGTGTGCTTGTTGATGTGTAGCTCACCCTTCATCCGTATTGATACTAAGCAGGGAGACACTGTAAAATTGTTTCAGGGGACCCTTTTCAGCACAAGGGCTGCATTTCCTTCTGGGGAACCTTCCAAGGGTCACATGCCAGTGTTGGGCAGAGTCAGAGGCAAATGGAAGCAGAGCAAAAGCCAGAACCATGGCTCTCTCAGATCTCTCTATGGCTTTTGCCACAATTGATGGAGGTGTCCTTTTGGAAAAACAAGTTCAGGATGTAGCGATGGGTTAAAGAAGAACTCGGGGAAAGTAGCACTACAGCTTTGGGGCTATGAGGATCTTCAGCAGTCTCTTCTGTCTACCAAGTTATTTAACAGTTACATGAAATGGTTGTAGGTTTATTTATTTATTTAACAAAATTCATATCCTGTAAAGCCTATAAGTGGTTTCCCAAAAAGGCTTTTGTTGTCGTCTGGGCATTTGGAGCAAAGTGTAATTTGGCCAGCAACAATTGGACTAATTGGCTTTCACTTAAGGCAGAGTTCCATTGGCACGCAGCCACTGAAACAAGGGTTTCCCATTGCTCCCTTTAGAGCTTGTCAATATTTGACAGGTTTTTTTATAAGATTCCATTTGAACTCGCAGGATCTCTAGCGACTTATTAATAATATGCATTTTTTGTCTAAGCAGAAAGGCATCATAATATAACTTAAGGCACCATTGCTTAACATAAGGCACTTCTATTCCTCCTTTGTCCCTTGGGTGATACAAAGTTTGGAGGGTTGTTCTATTCCACTTACTATCTAAAATAAAATTTTAACTAGCACTAGCCATTTCTGTAATTGGGATTGAAGAATTGATAAACACCAGCCTTGAACTAAAAATAAGAACTTGGGAAGAGTAGTCATTTTAATAAGCTCCATTAAAAAAAAAAAATACTTGCCCTCAAATAATTAATTTTTTTAATAGCCAGCCAGCTGTATTTTTTTTAGTTGATTAATTTGATAGTAACAAAATTTAACTTTAACTCTCCTCTAATTCCTATCTCTATATTATTATTATGATTATGACATGTTTCTGTTTCGATGGTCTTGAAACAAAATATCTCTATACCAGCAGCTCTATACCACTCAGCAGCTGGAAACTTGAAAAGGCGGTGGCTGGAGCATTTCCCCTCTCTTTCCTTCCACACTAAAAAAAAATAAAATTACGCACACACTCCACCCAAGCAGGTGATCCAAGCGGGCTCCCCCCCCATCCCCTTCCAAGAGACCAGTCCTTACTGATCCACCGGGTTGAGGTTATTCCGTGTTTGTCACCTTTTGCCCTTGTTCTGCGCTTGTGTGGAAGCCTCCTTAATCGGGTTCCCATCTGCAAGTTTCCTTTTACAAGTGAGGTCATGGCAGTGGCTGGCTGGGGCTCCTTGCCGCCTCCTCCTCCTGCTGGGTTGCTTGGTGCCTAAGGCGTGCTCAGCGTTCCAGACTGATGAGAATTGAAGTCCAATGACATCTGGTGGGCCACAGATTACCCATCCCTTTACTAATATATTGTGGAGTGTCTTATTCTGGATCTTGACCAGGCATAGGCAAACTCAGCCCTCCAGATGATTTTGTTGAATGGTTACTTTAAATGTAAAGGTTCATCATTGTTCCACTCCATGTGTATGTCTTTAAGGGGCCAGAGCAAGGGCCAGAGCAAGATAACGAGACCCAGCTTTACAGCTGTGTAACATAGCAGGTGCTGCTGAGTTGTATTTGATTAAGGTGTGTCAGCATCTGGGTGTAGTATATAAGGAGCAGCACCTAGCTCTCCCATTACCCTGGGGGATGGGTTGGTGGTTGGGTCATGTTTGTTTGTTAATATATTTAGTGTTAATGGAGTTTTTGTTTTTCTTATTAAAACCTTCTTTAACTTATTTTTGAGTCCCTTCTTTTTAATGCATGATCTCCCCAGCAAGCTCTCTGCAGCGTCACTATACTGCAAAAAGCCAACATCTTTGGTTATGGGCCCAGCTGCTGAGTGGATGACTGCATATTTTTGGACTCTGAGAAAGGTTTGAAAACTCCTTCTCCTGTTAGCGTAGTTTTTGTGGGTCTGGAAGAGTTCCAGAATGGTTGACCGGGTTCCTGAAGCTGAGAAGGCTCTGGTCTTCCCACAGCTAACAGATGAGAACTATAGCTTATGGTCTTTTCGGGTGGAGGCGCTTTTGACCTCTAGAGAAGTATGGACCTATGTAACTGATGACCCTCCTGACCCTGTAACTAATGCTTGGTCGAAAGGAGATGCAAAAGCCAGGGCGATAATTAATTTGGCAGTCAGCGACCAGCAAGTAGTCTATATAAGAAATAAGAAAACTGCCAAAGAAATGTGGGACAGTCTTGCAGCAGTGCATGTTAGAAAAGAGTCAGCATCTGCATTGACCTTTTTCAAGCAGTTGTACCAGACGAAGTTGCAGCCTGGTGGAGATTTGGCAGCACACTTGAGACGTCTGGAGGCAATACGCGGCGAGTTAATTCGAAGGGACATGGAGATACCTGATATTCAGTATGTTTTTATCATCCTTTGTTCCCTTAATGAGGACTTTGATGGTATAGCTAGCCAGATATCTGCCGTTCCACCAGCACAATTAACTGTGGAAGGGGTAACGGCAAGATTAATGGGCGAGTTGGATAGAAGGGAGGCTTGTGCCATAAGCACTCCTATTTCCAGAAAGAATGAGGAACGGCATATGAAAACCTGTGGTGATACAACTGCATTTAAAGCTGCAAAGCGTTGTTGGTTCTGCAATAAGCAAGGACATTTTGCAAGGGACTGCAGATCCAAAAGAAAACAAAGTACTCCCAAGCCTGTTTCTGTTCGTCAATCACGGTCGTCAGCCCAGCAGCCGGCATCGTATAGTAGAGACAGAAACGAGCCGCGAGCTTTTCACGCTCGGACTAAAGATCGTAAAAGAATTAAAGGTGCCAAGTGGAAGTCTTTTGTTGTCGACTCAGGAGCATCTCAGCATATCTGCAATGATCGAAGCTTGTTTATTTCTTTCGAAGAGGAAATTGGTAATGTACATTTAGCCAATTCACAAGTCTTGCAGTCGCTTGGCAGGGGTACCGTTAAACTTGACTCTTTAAACATTACAATAGCGAACTGCATTTACTGCCCGTCAGTGGACAATTTATTGTCAGTAAGGTGCTTTGCCCGTCAAGGCATAACTGTGCGTTTCTTAAAGTCTATGTGTGAGTTTTTCGAGGGGAACAAACGTCTATTGTATGCCCGGGAATCTGATGGTTTATATAGACTGTATTTTCGCACCTACTCCCAATCGTCTATAAATTGCAGAGCAGCACAGTCAAGCCAGGGGTTGAGGAATGTAAGGCCACATTCTGGGTGTATCCACGTGGCGCACAGAATTCTGGGACACCTGAATTTTGCTGATGTAATTAAGACAAAGAATATTGTTAATGGCCTCAACTTAAAACCATGTAAATTCTTTATGCAATGTCTATCCTGTTGCAAGAATAAGATTAAGGTTGCACGCAAGGGTAGGTGCTCAGATAGGAAAGTAACTGAGCCATTTGAGCGTGTACATTGTGATTTAGTTGGGCCACTCCCACCATCATTAGGAGGTTCGAAATACTGGCTTACTCTGATAGACCAGTATAGTAGATATTGTTGGACTTATGCAATAGCTGAAAAGTCCCAAGCATTTGAGAAGTACAAGGTTTTTTGCAACTGGGTAAAAACGCACTTTAACAAACCTATTAAGAACCTGTTTTCTGACCGGGGCGGGGAATTTGTTTCTGAGGATTTTGAGAAATTCCTGGAAGCGCAGGGGACTACTCATGAGTTATCTTGCCCCCGAAGTCCCTGGCAAAATGGGCTTGTTGAAGTTGTGCAGCGTGACCTGCAGGCAGGGGTTAAAACTTATCTGCACGATGCTAATCTGCCCAAAGACTTTTGGGCTGAAGCACTCCATGCTTTTTGTTATGTGAGAAATCGCAGTTATCATTCTGGTTTAGATGTCACCCCCTATGAGAAGCTGTTTAAAAAACGCCCTAATCTGAAATACCTACGTATTTGGGGTTCAGATGTAATTATGCATTATCCTGCTAAGCAGAAATTGGGTGAGCGTAGTGTCCAGGGAAAATTAATGGGCTACCAGCAGGGGGCGTACAGAATTTACATACCAGCAACTGGCAAATTTCATATTACCAGAAGCATGATACAAACTGTAAATTGGAATGGGGTTGCTGTTTTCCAAGATACTGATGGTATAAATGATACTGAGGAAGAAGAGGAAGCAGCAGCAGCAGCAGGAGGAAATGGTGATTCTGAATTAATAGAAAAAGACAAAAAGCCTGTTGAATCGGATAATTTGTTTGAGGATTTAAAGTCACAGGCATCTGAGGGGAGGTTAGATTCTCTTGAGTTTTCTGACCGTGAGCTTAGCCTACAGGCACCTCTACAGTCTGACAATGATAATTTACAACCTGAAACTAGTAGTTCACTGAGTCCCATTAAGTCTGAGGAGTCTGACTCTCCTTCCGGACTGAGACGTTCAGATAGAAAGAGGCAGAAGCCACAACGTTTTGCAGATGAACATTTTAATACTGTGTATGCCAATAAGGTGGTTTTTGAGCCAAAAAGCTACAGTGATGTTCAGAATTTACCTATGCACCAAGCTGTAAATTGGTATAAAGCTATGAACTCTGAGATAGCTTCTTTAAAAGAGCATAACACTTGGTCTCTTGTACCACAAACCCCAGATATGAGACTTATTGATTCAAAATGGGTTTATAGAGTTAAAATGAATGACAAAAATGAAGTTGTAGGGTACAAGGCAAGACTAGTTGCTAGGGGCTTTCAACAAATTCCAGGCGAAGATTATGATTTGTGCTATTCACCAAGTGTAAAATATGAAACAGTTAAGCTTTTGTTAAAAGATGCATCACAATGTGGAAAAGCCCACTATGCAATGTTTCTCTGCTCTCAAGAGAGTGGTAATGTACCTTAAACATACCAAACATTATAGGTTGCAGTTTACAAGAAGCACTTCCAAAGGTTACACATGAAAAACATGTACAAAGTATGTTTTATGTTTTTGTTCCACAATGATGAACCGCAGGGGAAATGTTGAATGGTTACTTTAAATGTAAAGGTTCATCATTGTTCCACTCCATGTGTATGTCTTTAAGGGGCCAGAGCAAGATAACGAGACCCAGCTTTACAGCTGTGTAACATAGCAGGTGCTGCTGAGTTGTATTTGATTAAGGTGTGTCAGCA